ACACGGAAAGACATATTGGTGAGGAAGAAGAAATGGGAAATAATTGTCTTGGAGAAAAACTAAATGGATTAAAATGACAAATAAAGTAGAACAATCCTATATTTTAAAATCTAAATAACTTCATAATTTGCTTGTTTTATTTCTCTATTGTCATGATTGCATGTCAAAAGAGAATAATGTTTCACTAATATATATTTGATTGATTGATTGATTGATTGTTGGTTGCTTAACGTCCAGTGGCAAATTTTTCATGCATATTCAGGACGAGAACAAATTAACAATAAATACAATAGGTAGGTTATATAATAGCTTAAAGTTGCTCAGATTGATAACGTTTCTGGTATGTTGTAAAAGAACTTCCTTACTAAGCACGATGTCGAAATACACATAGGAAAATATGTACTAGTTATCAAAAGTGAAAAGATAAAACTTAAAAAAAAAGAGCAAAGTAATGTATGCGGTAAGATTTCTTTATCACTAAACTTATTGATAGTGAGTCAGGATTAGATATTAGACAAATCATTAGTAGAATTACAAAAAGTGTTCTTTGCATTTGATAAATATGAACCAGAAGACAGTCAAGTAAAATTAAAATATTGTGGTAGGGTTAGTCATTGGTGTTGATACTCTTGAAGGTCAAGCTGAGACACTATCACTTGAAAAGGGAAGCAAGTACTGCCTGAGTATTTACAGCATGTAGAAGTTAATTCATGAAAACTTTAGTGTGGGCGCTGACTTTAGCATAAAGAAGAAGTTGTTCACAGCAGAGGAGACAGGTTGTACCCCCTATAGAAAATGTGGGAGGTAGGGGCATTCCTACACTCCAATATTTACATCAGTAGATTTAATTGCATTAATTACATGTATATAGTAACAATATGAATATGGTAAAAGGTTACATTTTTGCCTATGCAATATATGAAAAGGTATACATTTATAAAATATTTATTATATGACAAGGGTGGGCTAACAGGACCCCTATCAATAAAGTATTTAAGTATTTGGCTTTGGGCTTTCCTGGTGAAGGTTTATCCTGCAAAGCGCTTTAGAGGCATGAAATTTATAACGTGTTGTTTTCATTTTTTCTATACTAACAATGTCAAAGTTATTTTTCTCTCTTTCCATCTACCTGTGTGACGTGGCTTATCAGGTATGACATGATAAAAGTTTTGTCGTTTCTGTGATGTTTTCATTTGATGAAACAACATACGAGACTTATTTCAAATCGAGATATGAGGAAACAATAAGTGTGTCTATGATTGCCGAATATCTTTAAACGAAAGGGGATCATGTATATTTTGATCTCACTATAGTCATGAAATTGAGAATTTAAACATTAAAACTACAAACGACAAGGTTATTTTCTTTTACCTGTATGTGACGTAGCTTATTTGGTTACCTGGAACCCACCTTAACAAGTTGACATGATAGCATTTCGAAGTCGAGGCTTAGAAACATGGGCATCATACTAATACACTTGGACGAGGTGATTGAGTATATGGTTATTTATACCTATTTGATGGATACATTTACCGATAGTACATATCATTAATGTTGTCTAAATACTGCAATCGATTACAGTGTAAGACATGTGCAGTGCTGGCAGTTTAATCCTCATTTTAATTAATGGTAGCGGTCCACCTACGGAAGGCCTCTTAAAATGGTTATGACCTGTATTGAATTGAACGATCTAGGCGGATTAAGTTTTTTGACATACTTACAACGACAAAGTTATGTTACTGTACGTATCTATGAATGCCGAATATTTTTAAACCGAAAGGGCATCATATAGTTATAAGAAGATGTGGTATGAGTGTCAATAAGACAACTCTCCATCATGTATTCATCTATCTCAAAGTGTAGTCATGAAATTGAGAATTTAAACAGAGCTATAAACGACAAAATTCTTTTCGTTTACCTGTATGTGACGTAGTTAATTTAGTCACCTGGATAACAATACGAAGTCCAGACTTAGAAACGCGAGAATCGTACCTATATTCTGTGAAGTCTCTTCACTAATAATGTCTACATACTGAAATCTGATAACAAGGTAGACCTTTACAGTGTTGGTCGTGTAATCCTAATTTTTAATTAATTGTGACGATTACCCTAGTGGGGCCTCTAAATTTGAGTATGGCCCGTGTTCCTTAGGCTACGCGTAATAAAAAAACAACTCGTTTATGGTGTTATTGAAAGCCAAAATTCTATGAACTAAAAGGAATATCATAGCTTTAATGTCTACAGTGAACAAACTTGTTACATTGGTAAAAATAACACTTCGTAATAAGAACGACAAAGTTATTTTCAATCTACCTGAATGACCGATCATTATTTTCTTGATGTTCGTATGTCATAATTGAGAAATAATTGACATTTTATAAATACATAGGAAAGGATAAGTTTATGGAAAATTTGTAGCCTGTATTTTTGTGTCGATTTAACAATCTTGGACGAGGTGATTGAGTATATGGTTATTTATTCCTATTTGATGGATACATTTACCCATAGTACATATATGTTAAATTCGAAATGTTTAAAAGCATTATATATTTTAGACCAATCTCAGTAATTAACTGTTCCAACATTATCTGAAATTGTCTATAAGTAACAGGAACACATAATTAATTCTTGATAAAACAATAAGCTGGACTCTTATCAGAAGTACAAACTAAAGACAATGGAGAATCTGGTTTTGAGACTAGAGTTATCAATAATTCTCTCTCACTAAACTGAATGGTTTTCGATCATTTAATATTTATCAATAATAGCTTACGCTACGCTTAAAATCGAAAAGAATACTTTTTCTGCCAAGCTGCTTATTATGATCAAAAGAAGAAACAGAAAATGGAACCAAATTAAATTTTCTAAACATAAGAAAAAAAAAACAAATGAAATAAAAATCTCCTACAATAAAACAAATAAAGTACCAATTGTTAAACTGCATATTTCGATTATTATTGCAGTCTGAAATTTTCAAGCGATATCATTTACAGACAGTTTAATGTCTTCTTTGAAAATCAAATACAGTCTTGACGTGAAAATGTCATCTCCCGTTACACAATGAGTCGACAGAATAAAAATTCCTTACATCCGGCATCACACATAACCCCACACCTCGGGCCCCCCCCCAAAAAAAAAAATTTTAACAACACCTCAAAATACCTTCATTTAAAGCAAAAAGGCCACTAAATTTCACAAAAAAAGCAAAAAAAAACCCCAAAAAAAACAGCAAAAAAACTTTGCTCCCAAAAATATTTTTTTTTTACTTTTTGATAAAAAAAACCTTAAAAACTCCAAAAAAAAAACAACAAAAAAAATTTCAAAAAAACAAAAATAAAAAAAAGGTCGGGAGAACAGGCATAGAAAGAATTCTGTGGGATTTGAGAGAAAAAAAATCAATTTTTACTTTAAAAAATGAAACAACCTACAGCTCCCGATTTATCAATGGATATACCATTATATCCAGAATTACCTACAGAAGATGGACAAAATTATAGACTACAAAAAATAACAGAAATAGAAAAAACATTAATAAATGAGAGAGATAAACGTAAATCACTATACAAGAAATATAAACGCGGAGTCAATGTTACTGATGGTGTCGATACAAGTTTAATTTCGACTTCCGTTGTTTTAGCTGGTATAGGAATAGCTTTTCCTATCTTGCTTCCAATACAAATTACAGCTATTGTATGTGGAAGTTTAGGAGGTTTAATTAAATTTGCTAGACGCAAGTTAACAACAAAATCAAAGAAACACTACGAAATTAAAACAATGGCAGAATGCAAGTTAAACAGTATAAAAGATTTAATATCAAAATCTTTAACTGATGGAAAGATAAGTGAGAATGAATTTAAATTGATTTTAGATGAATTGGAAAAATACAATAAAATGAAAGAAAATATACGTACAAAACAAACACAAACAGTATTGAACGACAGCGAAAGAAAGAAATTGATAGAAGACACAGAAGCTAGAGTAAGAAGTGAATTAAAAAAAAAAATGGAAAATATCTAATTTTTTTTAACAAAATTACAATAGTTAATGACCCTCCCCCAATGTATGAACTATAAAAATTTTTGATGTAAAAAATGGCTGAAGGAGGTGTTGAGTTTGGAAATCCTTTATTTGATCGTGATGATTATGATGAAGAAAAAGAAACTACTTTTCGAAATGATGAAGAATTTCAAAGTTCTATAGACAAGGAAACTGAGGTATTAAGAGATTTATCAGAAAATGACACTAAAATTCGCGAAAAAGAAATTACCGAAAAAATGATAAAAAGATTTTATAACGAAAATAATGAATTATATTCAAACAAAAATTACAAAGATTTTTTTACCAAAGAAGATTTTAATGGAAGAACAATGTTGTATGTAAAAGATAAATATGGTAGGGAAATTGCATTAACATATTATCAAAAAGGAGTATTAAAATTTTATAAATTTAGCACTATTCAAAGAGAATACGGTGTTGGTGGTACCGAATTTATCAAAGATGTTTTGGGTGTAGACGATTATAAAATATCTGATAAAATAATAGAAGGTAGAGCAGAGTTTCAGAGAATGTTAAATGAAACACCAATTCGTGAACTCAATAATATAGAAATTCCATTAAAAGAAATATCTACACAAGAAGTACAAGAATTATTAGAAACAGCAAGCAATACCGAAACATCTGTGAAAGAAATAGAAACTTCTTTTATAGAAGAAGGAGTAACTTACAAAGAAATGGAAACACAAACAGATATGACAAAAAGAGAGATGGATGGTGTAATCAGTGCAATGACATCAGTAAAAGAAGAGATTGCAAATGAATTAGCAAAACTGAATGAAACAAATAAAGACTTAACAAAAGAAAATACCAAATTAGAACAAGCAAAAGAAAATGATGATAAATTTCAAATAAATAGAATAAGTAGTAGAATAAGAGATTTAGAATCTGAGAGAAGTGCGAGACTAGAAGTAATTAATATTAATAAAGAAAAACTACGTAGTCAGGTAAACAGAATTAAAGAAACAATAAATAAAGTGTTATACGAAGACAAAACATTAGGTGAAAGAATAAGAACATTATTCAGAGAACAAGGAATAACAATAGTTAGTGTTTTGACTGCTTTTGGAATGATTATTGGTGTTATTGTTGAGGCATTTACTGGTGGAACTACTTCCCCTTCACCAACTCCTCCGTCAAAAGGTGGTGCACAAGATTGGATAAAAAAACAATTAAAAAATCTTGGAAAACTATTATCTTTTCTTGCAGGAAAATTAGCAGCTGCATTACCAGGTATTATTGGTTCTATTGTATCTTGGTTGTTATCTACAACCGGAAATATTGTTAATTGGTTTGCAAACAACTTGTGGGCTTTGCTTGTTTTGGTTGTTGGTTTATTGTATGCTGCTGCTAGGGAATATTTAAAAAAATAAATTAATAAATTTTATAAATAATAAGTGCTGTAATACCCAAAACAATACTTCCAAATATTATTGCTTTTTTATTATCTTCGTGTTCTTCATGTTCATTTTTTTGTATTGGTTCTATTTGTATTGGTTCTATTTGAACTGGTTCTGATTTTTTTGGTTCTGATTGAGATTGTTGAATCAATTTTGGTTTATTTGGTTTAAAATCAACAGGATCGAGACCGGTAAAATCAAAATTTTTATTATTTAAATCATCATTTAAACCGAGTGTTTGATTTTCTGTTGCAATTACAATTTTGTTATTATAACCAACAATGGTATCAATTTGTAATACCATATCACTGGGAGACATATATAAACCAAGTCCATAAGCATAATCAACTTTACTTCTTGCGTATTTTAAAACATTTTGATATTTTTTTATCTGAGTGGGTAAATCGATAGGACTATTAATAACATCTTGAACATTTGCTAAGAATTGTTTTTGTGCATCAAATCCTGTTCCTACTTTTAATATTTCTACCCTTGTTTGAGATTGTGCCCTTTTCTGTTGCAATTACAATTTTGTTATTATAACCAACAATGGTATCAATTTGTAATACCATATCACTGGGAGACATATATAAACCAAGTCCATAAGCATAATCAACTTTACTTCTTGCGTATTTTAAAACATTTTGATATTTTTTTATCTGAGTGGGTAAATCGATAGGACTATTAATAACATCTTGAACATTTGCTAAGAATTGTTTTTGTGCATCAAATCCTGTTCCTACTTTTAATATTTCTACCCTTGTTTGAGATTGTGCCCCTAATAATGCCCATACAAACATTCTAATACTTTCATTGATACGTTCAATACCTGCTTTTGTAAAACCCTCTGATTTATCTAATATAAATGTTGTCCAAGCCATACTTATATCTTTTTTATGACGAATTGTATCATGAATATTAAAGAAGGGACCATCATTTAAGTGATTTTGTCTATATTCACCACTTGGTTTATAATATTCAGAAAAAGTTCCTAATCCTTTAGATGATGATTCTACTTTTTGTCTCCAATCTGTATTTGGAGAAACATCAAATTCATTGCATAATTTTTGATATGCAGCTTTGTCATATGGGTTTTTGTAATAACAGAAAGAAGAATCTGTTGGTAAAGGTGATTTAAATTCTTTTAAAATTCTGGCAATGCAATAATATAAGTGAAATGTATAAAGTGATTTAGTAAGATTTGAAGTGTTTTGTATATGGTTATTGTAGGAAACACCACATCCTATACTTGCACACCAGACTGCAAAGTTTAACTGACATTGCCACCAATCAAACGAAGAATGAATCCATGTATTCCATGGTTCGTTGGTGTGTAATGATGGGTTTTGATATTTTTGAAATAAATCGGGGAAAGCTGTTTTAAAGTTTTCTTTTTGATTTACAAATATTATTTGATCGAAAAGATTTATATCTTTTTTAGAATACTTAACACTTGGATTATATGATACATTTGGATTATATTTAAATTCTTTTGTAATCTAAAAATAACACATTTTTTTTATATTAAAAATGTATCATACTATTTCAAATATTGATAAGACAATAAACTTACAACAATACATTGATAACAGAGATGGAAATAAACGTATTGGTTTAAAATCTATAAGATATAATGTAGGTTGGTATAATGTTTATGATGGAGTTATAAGACAAACAGGAGAAAGACTTCATAGGATTAAAGATGGTTATTATAGTTTCCAACAAATAGCGGATGAATTTAAAAAAAAAGATATTGTATTATCCGTAAATGAAACAAATGGTATTGTTTCATTAAACACTCCTATTGAGTTAAGGATAAATGAAGATTTGAAAAATATGTTAGGATTTAATAATGAACGTAAATTCGAACCTAATGAATAATTTATGGAAAAAAATTTGTAGATTTTGCTATCCATAAATCATTGTTTATCCATTTGGAACAAGTTAGCACTTCTTATAATTATCTTGATGGTATGCCGAGTACTTTGTTGGCTGTTGTTCCAGTTGAAAATAAAGAGTTTGGGGATATTATAACAATAAGATTTGAGAATCCGGAATATAAGTATTTGGTAAATGGTGATATAACAGAATTGAAATTAGAAATAAGAGACGAAAATAATAAAAAGATAATTAATAATTTACCAATTAATTGTGTTTTAGAAATTGTATAATTTATTTAATAAAATGAGCATACTTGGTGTCAAGAAAAAACACGTAGATACATCGGAAATAAAAAAGGAAATATTAAATATGAAGAGTGAGCTTCGAACAATGGATACTAAGGATAGAGATTTACGCCGGAGTGTCGCTGCCCTAACCATCAGAGTTTTAAATGTTGAAAATATAGTTACTAATATTAAAAATAAACCAGACAGAAAAATAATAAGTATAAATGCTGGAATTGATGGTTCAATACATACAAATCAAATGTTTAATTTTGGTGATGGTGGTGGTTATTATGTAATGAACTTTCCAGGACAAATATTGGGTATGAGTTTAGTAAGTCTGAAAACAAACACAGATGATATAGCCGTTATGATGACTGTTAATAATAATGAGCCATATGGTTACGGAATAAGTTTGGGTAGTAGTGTCACACACAGTTATTATAACTTTAATACACCTTTTGAAGTTAAGGCTGGAGATATAATAGGTTTTGTTAGTAAGAGTGATAATTCTTCATGTATCAATACTCTAGTATCAGCGGTAATTGAATTATTTTTATAACAAATTTAATCCTTAAAAATGTCGGCATACGGAAACAAATTAAATCCTTACAGAAAAATAAGAGAACCTCGTGGTGTGAAAGGTATTCGTCAAAGTGTAGTAATAACTAATAATCCTTCAACTATTGATCAAAATCAACAGCTATTAGTGAGATTCCCCAATCTAAGCAATAATGATGTTACTGTTCCAGGAACAACAAGATTAACATTTGAGATAGATCTTACATCATCTACAGACGACAATGCAACCATATATCCAAACATAGGAAGAGCAATAGTTAAAAAAACAACAATTCGTATAAGTGGAAATGAAATTATGTCAATTGATGATAGTGATATTTATCATTGTTATACCGATTTGTGGAAATCTTCATCTGAACGAACAAATATGGCATACCAAGGTATTTGTGAAACAAACATGTTAAAACACAGAGTTGGTGTAGGTAATAAAGCAAATGATACGGGTGATGAAGCAATTGCATTAGCATATAAAAACAGATTTTGTATCCCACTTGATTTTGAACTATTAGAAACTCATATGCCTTTTTATCAATCAGGTCTTGGTGATAGACTTGAATATGAACTTACATTTAATAATTATAGCAACGTTATTAAATCTACAGATACAGATGCAAGTTACACAATTAAAAACATTTGTTTAGAATTTGATATGGTTTCCGATGCAGAATTAGCAAGACAAATAAGACAAGTTGATGGTAAGATGGTTATTTTGTACGATAGAATACTAAGACATAGAAAAATAACCAAAAACAAATCTGATACATTGTGGAATATCAATTTAAATGTTCCAGCTAGAATTATGAAAGGAATTCTAATGTTATTCGAAGATCCTGAAAGAACAAGTACAGAAACTTATTATAATCCTAATATAACAAAAGTAGAAATGACAATAGAAGGTGTTCCAAATCAACTATACAGTCAAGGAATGAAAGCATATCAACAATGGGATGAAATAAATAAATTCTTTGCTTTAAATTCAAAAAGAAATAAAGAAACAAATATACTTGCAAAAGATTTAAATTTATCTCATACAACATTAGAAAAATATCTCACAACTAATTATGCATTATGGTTAGATTTACGTTCAACAGATGATAACTCATTACACGGTTCAGGTAGAAGAATTGAAAATGCCTCTGAAGGTATAACAATCCAAATAACTAAAACAGCAGGAGCAAATAAATCAATAAATGTTTATCTGTTTGTAATCCAGGATGCACAAATTAATTTTGAAGATGGCAGATTTAAAAATGTTGATTACTAGTAATTGCTGTCTTGACGAACAAGTTCTGCAATCTTATTCCTTTCGGTAATCAATTCACTTATTTTTATTTCCAATGTAGTTTTTTCTTCATTCTCGTATGTTCTTTTCGTTGTCAATTTTTTGAGTTTAGTCTTTGCACTAACTTTTTGTCTTGTTAATCTCAACCAAATCCGTCTTTTGTTTTTATCACCAAAATCTTCTTTAGCTTTGTTTATTCTATCGGTCAATAATTCAATTTCCTTTTTTGTACTGTTTATTTCTGTATCTTGTAAATTTATCGTATTATTATGTTTTGCTAACAACGTTTCTAATTTTTCTAATTCATCCGACACTTTAACTAAATTACATCTTCTCAATTCAGATTCCATTTTGAATATGAACATGTCACAATTAGGTAGTTAAGATAGTGTTTACTGCAACTAAGTAAGTGTTTACTGCAACTAAGGAGTTTTTTATTGAAACTAAGTAAGTGTTTACTGCAACTAAGTAAATGTTTACTGCAACTAAGGAGTTGTTTACTGTATCTAAGTAAGTATTTATTGAAACTAAGTAAGTGTTTACTGCAACTAAGGAGTTGTTTACTTTTGTAAAAGTGTAACTAAGTAAGTGTTTACTGCAACTAAGGAGTTAATCAATAATCCAATTACAGAACTGTTGATATTTTTACATTCCATCTATCATTGTATCACTTACAATTTAAAAATTCAGTCATAGTATTGATTATTTGAGTAAAGATAATAAAATGGAGAGAATTATCAATTATCATTTAATTCAATACTAGTTCTCATCTTCTCTTATTAATGTGATAAAATGCTCAATGGGGTGTATTGTTATTCTTTGTGATAATAAGTTAGTAAATATTAAAGTATTGATGTGAAGTGTTGTATTTTATTGAAATAATCATTGCTGTATCATTTGATCCTTGGGATCATTATTATTTAAAATGGATAACTCATTAAAATTCTAATGTTATTCGA